ATTTAAGATCATTTTAGTGAAAGTTTCATGTTCCTATCTCATAGAATTTAAGAACAATGATGAATAAATAATTTTCGAGCAAAATTTAAATGGCCGGCTGAATATATTACCGCAGGAGCCGCGGCCGCGGAATTTAAATGACCACGTCAAAGGGTTAACAATGTATATATAACTTTCTTTGAATAAACGTTATACATAAAATGTTTTGATTTTTTTTTCAGCATGGAATGCATTATCGTGTTTTACATTAATTTATATGGGAAAAATGGTTTCGCTTAACGAGTGTTTCGCATTACGAGTAAGATTCTGGAACGAATTATGCTCGCTAAGTGAGGTTCCACTCTGTGTGTGTGTGTGTATTTCATATGATGGTGGGAAGGTGGTTTTTGCTTCTGTGTCACTTAAAAGCTACAGCATAGAGAACTGATTTTATATTACATTAGATTTTAAATCCTGTAGTTAATACAGTTCTTCATGTGTCCCGTGTCATAGATTTACGGCACATAAAAGAACCTCATGTCTTTAGGAGACCTCTGAGCTAAATTACAGGCCCTTTCCCACCCAAGTAATCTCCGATGCCTCTGGTGGATGGGGGAAGCATCAAGGTACTGGGGGCCGACCTCGTTGGCTCTGCGGGGGCTGATGGCACGCACCGTTACCGGTAGGGTATGGCGACAGTAGAAATTAAAAGGTGGATGCACAATGGACCAATAACTGGTCTAAGTGCATGGGGAAACCCACTCCCTCCCATAATACATACAATACATAATATAGTTCTTGTAGTAGATGATGGTTCTGTACATAGCTAATGTGTTAGGGATCATGGCAAAAATTTATCTCAGTAAGTTAAACAAAAGCAGTTGAAAAGGAAGTTTAAAGAAGACAGAAGTTGTTTCAGTTTTGTGAGCACTGTAATGGCTAAGAAAGGAGGCTTTTGTATATAAAGGAGTCTTGCTCTCTGAAGTGTTACTAGATATGCTGCAAGATGAGAGCTGAAAATTCAGACTTAAGTCGCTGGATGGACTGCTTTTGCAGTCAGGCACCCACCAAGCTACTGAGATGAGGGGGGGCTTTTCATCATATCTAACAGTATTGAATGTCATAAAGGTTTGCTGAACACCTGCAGTGTTACCTTGCTTCCAGTCCTTTGTACACAATGAAGTATACAGTGTTTAATTTAATTTACAGTAGTCGCATAAGTAGAGGAATATCTGAATATATTAGTGTTAATGTATGTGAAATGCATCGTGCAGAATTTGTATGTTTTATGATCTATCTTCATACAAAACTCCACATAATCAAAACTAAATGTAATGTATTTTGCATGGTTACCATGTCACTTTGCATTCTATGAAGTATTTATCTTAACAAAAACTGTATATTTTTCACAGTGTTTCTTTGTGAGCCAGAATTTTTGGACTCTACATTTAGTGGTCCTAGAAGTGCTCTCATATAATAAGTTTTCACAGCTGTCATGTTGATGGTAGTGGTGGCAGGAAATTAGTGGTGTGATGTTCATGTAAACTATAATGAAAATATGTGAATTGCTTCAGAAGTTATTTGAAGAGGAGGTGACAAACACATGGACATGATGGTTACAGAAACCTAATTTTCTATATAAAACAAGGAAAGTTGGATTGAGGATGAAAATTATATAAGCAAATACAGAAGTCTTTCAGATGAATGGATGTGAGCTATATGGTATGCTATGTGGTAATCTGAACTGACTTACAGTACCATAAAAAAGTAGGTATCTCCAAAAATTACAGATCTAATCGAATTATTTTATTTTCTTGCAATAAATATGAATTCTTGTGAAACATGATATCACATGTTAATGGACCTGCCTCTCTAGGAGGGAAATGGTTTAATTCCTTGAGCCTGGCACATAGTCGAACATCCACAGGTTCTGGTTGTTGTTTGTAATATAAAATGTACCTATAAATCTTTTTAATAAATAATTTTGCTAAAGAAATTTTGATTTTATATTCAAAATCCAGTAATCCGAATAATTCAAAGAAACCAGTGCTTTAATTAGTTGAGATTATGAAGGTTGCACTGTATGTGTTAGTTTTTAACATATTCTGTAGGGTGTATGAAAAATTTATTCCTTATTTGATTCAAAACAAAACAGTTTTCAGAATATAGCACTTACACCATTTATTGTGATAACTCTTTTCCTTTGCTTATGGCTAACATATTTGAACCCCCACAGTAGCAGCCAGGTATCTCAGACTGGTTGAATACACAGAACATAATTTATATACAAGAAGAGGCACAACTTCACTTTGCAATACCAGTATGACAGTGGCTGGATGAAAAATTTCCAGAGAAATGGATTTGTCAGCGAGGTCTAAAAGAATGGTCAGCTTAATTTCTTCTTGTGGGACCGGAGGAGAGTGTTTCCAAAGGAGACCCTATGAATTTATAAGAACTGGACAAGAAAGTCACTGGGGGTTTTCAGAATGACCTGCATGACGTCCTGTGCAGAGCAGGACAGTGTGAGAGGTTAAATTGCTTAAATGTGCAGGAAATTCAAGGGGATTTGTGGAGGTGTGAGATATATAATATTAAATGGCATAAAATAAAGTAGGGGAAAAGCACTTAAGATTGTGCAGTGGCATTTTTTTATAGCTGGCAGCACTGCTGACTGGCGCCATTCTGTCGAGAGACGAAGCTTGTGAGGTACTCTTCAACAGTGTTAAGAATTTTCCTGAACATGATTTAATAAAGATTTATCAGGTAAAAATAACAGTTCATCAATCTTGATATAAATTTGAATATTAAGAAGGCAAGCTTTCTTGCAAATTTTAGTAATGTTTTTCTTGGATATAAATATTCCTGTTGCAAGGTGAACACACAACCTAAAATGTGAACTACTCATTGTTTGCCTGCATGAAGGCATCTGTCAGCTATTGGCTAAAAGGTGGAACTATGTAGACGCCTTTAAGACTGCGTGCCCATTGCAGTATTGAAGCTGTTCTCTTCTGTAAGGAACATCATATAACTCTTCTGTCTTTACCATCGCATGCAAGCCATAGGCTTCAGCCTTCAAATGTTGGCTTTTTTGGACCTCTGAAGGAAGCCTACGCCCAAGAGGCCGACAGGTGGTTAGTGAACCATCCTGGCACTGCAGTTGCTGAGACCAACGCCAGAATCTTCAGATCAGCCTACAAGAGAGTGGCAAACATGAAAATAGCAGTACGTGCATTCGAGACAATGGGAATTCATCCAGTTAACAGGAATGTCTTCTCAGCTGAAGACTTTGCACCCTCAGAAGTGACAATCTGCCCCAGTATGCAGGAGAATCAAGCCGCTGTAGAAGACATGTTTCAGTGAACAATGAAAATGGTAATGAAGTGTCCTTAACAGTTCAACCTGCGATAGTTGAGGAGGCACAAGTGTCACCTGCTATGATCTCACCATTACCGAAGGCAGTGCAGACGAAGAAGCAGAAGAGAACTTTTAAAAAGTCTGAGGTTTTATCTTCCTCTGTGTGCAAGAACGCTCTTCTAGCAACAAGGAAAGAGTCAAGCAATAAACAAGGAAACAAAACTCATTATGATGGCCCTTCAGTAGCATCAACTAGTTCTGCAGCTGTAGAAGAAGAGAAGATTAACTGTCCTGGTTGTAATGAAGCCTATGAAGAGCCTATTACTGAGGACTGGGTGCAGTGTAGTGGGTGGCATGAAGACTGTTGAAGCTGCGAAGGCTTCACACTCTTCGAATGTGAAGTATGCTAACGTGCATTTTAGAGGACAGTGCCTGTAAGCCTGCACATTTGCCATTCATTAAAAATGTTCTTTTAAAGACAAAATATTTAATTTTTGTAACTCCTTTGATGTGTTTGATTTGTTTCATTCTGGTCTGTCACACTAACAATTACAAAGACAAAAATAAAACCGTCCAGCGTGACTGTTTAAGTTTTATCACTTGAAACCTCATCACCCTTACATGTTTCGATCCCTATGGATCATCTTAAGAGGGCATCAATACTTTTTCCGGAAACTACTATTACAATTGGTGTTAACCTTTAAGGGACGGGCCATTTAAATTCCGGTAGTGGTAGCGGGACGGAGTTAATTTAAATGCCCGCCATTGCAGAGTAATAAAAATTGTAATCATGTTACTCAAAATGCTGTGATTTCTACAATTTTTGTGATAAACGAACGAAATAAACGCTACTTTTATCTAGAAAGTATATAGAATCAGATATTGTAATTTACAGATTTTAGAATCTGTAAAAATTGTTACATTGATTCCAAAAATAATTTTTCCCAGTGTTGAGTGTCTGTCTACAAAAATGCATAAAGCTTCTGCATAAAACGTTTCTGCAGTATAAATGCATGCTGCTGTCACACGGCCTGACTGTGTTATCTGGAGGAGAGAGCATGTTTATGTTTTCATTGCACATTCTCCAGTCACATCGTCTTCTTGTATACAGGAGTGTGGGTGAGTTCTTAGCCTTCTTTGTCCTTATGAAACTCTGATTGTTTATACACGGTATGTCGGACTATCCACACAGAGGCACTGTTCTTGGAATATCACCTCATTCCACTTGCTTCCAAGTCCCTTCAGAATAAACTGTAACGCATTCTGAATGGTGTGATTTACGAGCGGCCTCTCAATTACGGCTTCTTCCATGCGAAATGGCGCCATGGTGCATAGTTGAAATTGTGATCTTTTATAAGCGTTACGAATACAGGAGACCACTCACCATCACTCGCCTACTTCCTGCTAATACGAGACAGAAGTTGCGTGTGTGCCTTTGTGTGGAAAACAGAGTTACATACGGACAGAGTGCATGAATTGTGACGTTGGACTCTGCATTCAGTTACATGCAACATTCAGTTAGATGATGCAGGAGGGAAGACAGTCTACTTATAAAGCGGGTGTCCAAAAATAATGTAAGGAGAACAAGAATTTCTATCTTAAAATTAGATTTTAAAATACTATGCGCATGCGTGGACTGCGAGTCACCATACGGTGTCTTTCGGCCACTCAGCTTTACTTTAAAGGTCCCCATACGGTGTCCTTCGGCTCATAGAGGTTAAATTATATACATACTGTAGCGTGTTTTGTGTCTGTCACGCTACAAATAAGTTCACGCCGTCCTTTGGTATAGCGAATTTATTCCTTTCGCTCACACACACTCTACAAACATTTGCACGTGCAGTGTTACAATCACTGCTCACAATATTCCGGCCGACACTGGACTGGCTTCTCTGGCGGCTATTCTAGGGCTTTCTTCTAAGATGGCTCGATCACGACTTTCTTCTCCGAAGGCTATTCCGAGACTTCCTTCTCCGAGGGCTGATCCGAGACTGGCTCCTTAGACGGCTCGATGAAGACTTTCTTCTCCGAAGGCTGATCCGAGACTGACTGTCTCTCGTCGAAGCTGGGCTATTTATAACCTTGGCCGCTGCTAGGCAAATGAACCTTCTGTTATAACCATGGAGACTCCTGTTAGAACTACAATGGAGCAATTGTTGTTTCCTATGCAACGGTCTATACTAGAGTTTCCATAGAAGTTACTCTTCTGGAGTCCAGACACGTTACATTGCTCCCTTCTAAAGGTTGTTTGTCCCCGAACAGCCTAAAGGTTCTCCCTTGGTCTTGATTCGGCGGTGTTCCGCTTGCAACGTCAGCATTCGGCCTTGGTGTCCTTCGCAAGTCTTATTGTGCTGTTTGCCTTACCGCATCCGCCCCTCTCTTCAGTTGTGCTCGTCCCGAGCACTTCCACAGCCGAGAGTTCGTCGGTCGCCTTGTTTCAGATTCATTCGTCACTTCCATTCTTCATCCATCCTTGTTGGGGAGGCCGGTACTCTACCGGTTCCTCCCATAAGGGTCGTTACCCTTTTTCCGTTTTGGAGGGGGTCGACCCCTCCACAGTGTCCAGTGTCTAGTTTTCGGTAACTCGCTGGGAAATCCCGCTGGTAACTTCACAAGTTTTAACCCGATGATTTTCCTGAATGTCCGGCTGGCTGTCCTCTCGTTCTTTGGATGCGGCCGCTGCTTTGTGCATGCGCTTTTTACTCTAATATTGCCCTCTGGACCCACCTGGAGTCTTCGCCATTTAGGGGCTCCCCTCGCAACGTTGTTCCAAGTTGGATTGGTCCCCATGATGTGTCCCCTACGTCGTGCTACTTTTGCACGGAGGGACATCCTCTTATCTATCGGCGTT